TAGGATTCAAACCACCAAACCAAATATGGTATTACACACTCCACAAAAACAGACATTCTAGACTCCACAGTTCTCATTTCAAATATCAAGTCTGACATGTGAACTGAGGCCACGAATTTAAACTCCTGATGCTGAAGTATTTTTCTGTCTTCCTCACTCAGTGCTGAGAGACGCCCAGCACGTGGGCACATAATACCCATGAGGTCATGTGCTCCGGCCCTGCCAAAGCAACTGCAGTCATGACTCGGACTTCAATCCACCTGCAGTGGACTGACTTTTCCAGTTGGTTGGTTTGTCAGATGCGTTTTGGAATGACTGCAGATCAATCAGAAACTGCAGAGAGCTCTGAATACCAGCGCCCCTCACAGACTCTTGCATGCCACATGAGCTCACTGACACACAATCTTTTTTTTAGAATCTCATCACATTCAAATGGGATCCCCAATTTCTCCATTAAGTGAAATAATCCACTCCTTTCTCACTGCCCGTGGACTAGCTAGCTCAGTATGCACACAGAGCGCCAGTCCACCAGCTCTCGCACCCTGCCCTGCACTCAGTCTCGCTCTGCACAGAGCACTGACAGCAGCCCATTTCCGGGCAGAAAACGGAAAGAATGCTGTCATTCCGTGGGAATCAAAGGAAAGTGTCTGACAGCCTCAGACACCTCCACAGCAACAAAACAATGAGCGTCGCTCTATGGGAGCAGAGGTGCCCTGGTTTGGGGAAGCCTTCCAACAGGAGAGGAGGGCCAGCAACCGTCACGAGAGGTTAATGTATAAAATAGGGTGCCGTAGCTGTAACGTCCCCCAAGACAGTTCCGGTCAGGGCTTCTTGTCCTCACATAATCACTTCTAAGCACCCACGTTTGCTGATATCAAAACTGTCCTGATTTAGAAATAACTACACAAGCCTGGCCTTGTGGCACAGCAGCTTATGCAGCCTCTTGCAACACCAGCATCCCAGGGGTGCGGGTTCAAGTCCCAGCTGTTCCGCTTCTGAGCAGCCCTACCATCTGGGGAGTGGACCAGGAAATGGAAAATCTATCTGTAACAGTGCCTTTCAAAAAATAAATAAAACCTTAAAAGAAAAAAATAAAGAGAGCGAGAAAGGAAGAAAGATAGAAACTACCCATTCATCAAAACCTCCAGTGACTTCCCATGAATGCTACACAAAATCTACAACTAAACTGACAAAATCCTGGCAACGTTTTCTCCCCTACATCACATAAACAGAACATTTACAGTCACTTCTAAACTTCACAATAAATCTCCCTACAAAGAGTAAAACGAACACCAACAGTCTAGGATTATGGCATGGTAAAACTAAAAATTTAGTTTAAAGCAGCTCCATTATAAGTCAAAAACGCGTGCCAATTCATACAACCCCTTCTAAGATTACTCTCCTGGAAAGAAAGATCCAAAGGCCATCTGAAAGAGAAATAGTGTCAGTAAGGATTGCTATGAGGTCATGAGAGCAGAAGAGGACTCAGCACAAGCTATGTGTAACGGAAGGACTTCAAAAGTTGTTCAAAAATAAGGGGAAAGGGGCCCAGCACCATGGCCTAGCAGCTAAAGTTCTTGCCTTGAGCGCGCCAGGATCCCATATGGGCGCTGGTTCTAATCCCAGCAGCTCCATTTCCCATCCAGCTCTCTGCTTGTAGCCTGGGAAAGCAGTGGAGCACGGCCCAAAGCCTTGGGACCCTGCACCCATGTGGGAGACCTGGAGGAGGTTTCTGGCTCCTGGCTTCAGATTGGTGCAGCACTGGCTGTTGCAGTCACTTGGGGAGTGAATCATTGGACGGAAGATCTTCCTCTCTGTATATCTGACTTTGTAATCACAATAAATAAATCTTAAAAGAAAAAGAAAACAAGGGGGAAAGTGATGGGTAGGTATCTAAATTGGAAAGGGGCAGATACAGAGGGAAGGCTGTCTGACCCAGCAGGGGAGCCTGTGGGAACAGGTGCCACCCCCATCAGAGAGGGGCTGGTTCCAGTCCCAGCTCTGCTCTCCAATGCAGCTTCCTGCTGGGACGCAGTAACAATCCTGGAGTTGGTCCCAGCCACTCGGGCAGATGGTCTAGGCCAGGTCTCCTCGCTCCTGGCTTGGGTCACATTCAGCCACAACCATGGCAGAAATTCAGGACATGTCAACCAGGACACAGCTGCACTCCTACTAGAATAAGCTGGAGTGTTTTTTTTTGAAAAAAATGTTAAATGTTGGTGCCAAAATAGACTTCAGTTTAATTCCACTTCCCATGGGCCTCCTGTTCTCATCCTCTCCAGCTATGCCATCCCAGCAGTTCCGAAATTCTCTCACAGGGTCTCCCCTCCAGCCTTTCCAAGGTAAAAGCCAACTCCTCCTGTGATAGTCATCCTGCCTCCATACCCTTTCTGGATTCTGCAGAGCCCAACACAAACACTGCCATGTGAGCCGTCTGATTTGTCCACACTTGGCTGGACCCAACCGCCCAGGGTACAGCTTCAGGCGTGACATGTCTCTGAAGGCGTGCTATCGTTCTGAGCATCGGCCCAGCATCACGAGCATGGACCCAACAACGCTTCACCAGCACTTTCTTTTCAGGTGCAGGTCCAATACAGAGGCCTAGTCCAAAATCTTCAGTCTCTTTCAATTTTATTTAACACGAGGAAGTTCTCATTTTCTTAACCTCAACCTAGCCTTCTATTAAACAGACTCTACCTAAACAATTTTTTTTTTAGATTTATTTTTATTGAAAGGCAGACTTACAGAGAGAAGGGAGAGACAGAGAGGAAGATCTGTCTGCTGGCTCACTCCCCAAGTGGCCGCAACAGACACAGAGCTGAGGCAATCCCAAGCCAGGAACCCAGAGCCTCCGCCAGGTCTCCCACACAGGTGCAAGTTCCCAAGGCTTTGGGCCATCCTCCACTAATTTCCCAGGCCACAGCAGGAAGCTGGATGGGAAATGAGCATGCTGGGATTAGAACCAGCGCCCATATGGGATCTTAACACAGGGAAGGCAAGGACTTTAGCCACTAGGCTACTGCACAAGGCCCTGCTTAAACAATTTAAACTTCAGATGTGTAATCAGAAAACTTCCATCAAAGTTAAACCATTTAGAGTTATTACGCATAATAACTAAATTCATTGTTAATTAAATAACTATATTAAAAAAATTTTCCCAGAGGCTAGTATGGTGGGATAGAACACTCATCTTCTGCCTGTGGCACTGGCATCCCATATGACTGCCGGTTCAAGTCCTGGCTGCTCCACTTCCCACCAGGCTCTATGAAAATGGACTGAGGAAGTGGCACAGGATGGCTCCAGGCCTTGGGCCTTGCAGCCCAAGAGGAAAATCTGGAAGAAGCTCCAGGTTCCCAGCTTCAGACCACTCAGCTCCAGCCATCACTGCTGGGGACTCAATGGAAAGATGGAAAACCTATCTACGTAGCTCTCTTGAGTAACACAGCTTTAAAAAAAAAAAAAAATTAGCCCAATTTAACTTCTGGATAAAAGCAAAAGATAAAAAATTAACTTTCACGTGTTTGCCTCTCACTATGATAGTTAAGTTTATATTTATAATCTACATTAGGGATATAGCTTTCCCAGTTGCCAGCTTTTTGAATAACACCAGCACTCCAAAATGGATCACCCTGACAGACAATAACTGAGATCTTGCTCCACAGTAATGTGAATTCCCCTGATTTGCATGCTTTAAGAAAGGCAAGCAGGGAAAACGGTTATTAAAGTCTTTCCAATACTGGTGCTTGAAAATAAAGTGGCCTATATTGAGACTTGCAGGTGTCGGAAAACGTAAAGAACTCAGGCAGGAGGGTGAAAATTACAGCTCAGATCCCGTTCACCCCTGAAAACGTCACTAGTAGTAAGCTTCTTTGCAAATGTGCTGGGCTACGGTGAGATCACACAGGTGCCTTCTGCCCTACGAGTCCCGAAAAAGACCCAGTCACTTCTCCACAAACCCGATGCCGCCTGAAACACACAACTACTCAAACTAGCGTTTGCAAGCAAGACTCGCGGACTGGGGACTTGCTTTTTCTCCACAAGAAGGACCCCCTTGCTGTCTTCGCGGTCGGGACCCCCACCACTCCCCAGAACGCCTGCCTGGCTGCCCACCTGTGCCCGCAGCCCCAAGTGCCCGCGGGGTATGGCAAAGTACAAAACCTGAGGACTCTTAAGTCCCGAGGCTGGGGGGAAAATGAGAAGCTTAAGCAGCCTACAGGAACATCCAGGAAGTGTTTTGAAAAAATAATAACACGTTCGCGTGCAAACTAGTTACCACAACCTACGGCGCACGTCACACCCCCCCCCCAGGCGGCAACGAGACGGGCACTCACCCACGATTTTCCGCAGGAAACCTAGAGCCTTGAAATGTGAAATCAGGAGCACGGCTCGAGCGCTCCCTCGCCCAGGAAAGGGGATAACCCCAACCTAAAAGCATCCGCGCAAGCTGGGCGCTGCCATGTTGACAGAGAGCGGGCCTTGCCTGGAGGGCCCCTGAGCAGGCTGCCCTGAGCGGAGCCGGACGGCCATGGAGTCCGCCCCTCATCCAGCAGTCCCCTCCGCGCCCCTCCCAAGGCGTTCTCCCCTCCGGAGAACACCGTGGAAAAGCAGTCTCGGCGAGCGGCGAGCCAAATCCCCGAGAAATGGGCACCGCCTCTCAGGCATCCACGAGGGCAGCCTCAGCCCATGGGGGCGTGGCCCGGGCGGCGAGTGCTCGGTTACCGGGGCAACGCGGCCTCCGCTCGCCAGAAAACGTGACCGGGCCTAGCGCCCTGGCTCGCCGATGTCGCCGCGTCGCAGCCGCACGGTTCGCGAAGGCGCTCCGGGGCCGAGGTGCACGCCCTCGGGGCTCGCGCTGCCGACCTGAGGCCCCGGGGAGCGGGGCTCGGTGCCAGGGCGGCCCCAGGCCTCCACTCCCGGAGCGGCCCCGAGCGTCCCGGCGAGGCGGGAGCGCGGTCGCCGCCCCCTTAGCTGCCCGCCGCCCTGCCTGCGCGCCAGGCTCTCACACGCGGCGAGCGCCCGCTCCGGCGCTGCGCGCCCAAGCCCGGCCCGGGCCGCTGGCACAGCTCGTTGGCTGCGTTTCCTGAGCTCCGTGGTTCTTGCACAGGCTGGAGTTGTGTGTCTCGCCTCCCACTCGGAACCTTGGCGGAAAGGACCCGTTTATTTATTATTTTCTTAATCCAAAATGGCAGCCTCCAGCCGCGCACAAGTGTTAGAACTGTATCGGGCGATGCTGAGAGAGAGCAAACAGTTCAGCGCCTTCAACTACAGGTGACCCGGCGGGGTGGCGCGGGGACCCGGGAGAACCGGGGCCGTGGGTGTCTCCCCAAGTCCCTGGGGGAGTCCGCGCCGAGGGCTCTGACCCCCCAACTCCCCTCAGGTGTGGTGGTCTGGGGAGCCCTTCGCGGTCCCGGGGAAGAGCTTCCAACCCTGCTTGTGTCCGGGAACAAGGTCAGGGTCAGGTGTCCCCGGCTCAACGTGCGCGCTGCCAGTCGGGGAAGTCAGGACCGCCGACTTGGCGTTGCCTGCCTACCGCACCACGGTCTCCCTGGTGTTTGAAAAGGCACAGCCGGGGAGCGTTCTGGTAGGGCTGGGCTCATCAGCGATTGCCTCTCAGTAAGTTTGGTGCTTTCGTTCCATTTTCCGGCGAGCTGTTTTGTTGGAAGAGCGCAGGGGTATGAAAGTTTGGCTGTGGAAACTCGGAAAGTGGACAGTAGAAGCGCGCACTTTGCTAGCACGTGTCCGGTCTGGGCACCGTCTTTCGTGTTCTTAGCGGTCTTGTTTAATCCATGCTACACGGGGGCTTGAGAAAAGCGGGGAGCGGAGTGAAGAGGAAAGCATCGCTGTCTTGCAAGTGAAATCAAACTTGAGTTCTAACTTCCCACCCCATGGTTACGGGAAGCGGTCTCGTGGGGGCGGGGTGCACTAGCCTCATCCCTGATCCTGGCTGACTCGGAAATTAAGAGCAAGACCTCACTGTAGGTATCCCTGCAGCTGAGCTTACCCACTGGGGGTCAGACATGAATACTGGGTCCCCGGGCGGAGCCGATGCAGAAACCCACCTGAGAAGCACACGCCTTGTGTAAATCTGACAGCAGCAGCTAGAGCCCTGCCAGTAAGGAGGTCCTACTCACCCAATAAAGCGGTTTAAAAAAAAAAAAAAAAAAAAACAACCTTCCTTGGGAGCTGCGGAAGGAGGTAATCACTGCTTAGAGCTTTTAGCAACAATCAGCCAAACGCCTGGGGCCAAGTACTTAGTAGCCTAGTCTGTTAGGGGAGCAAGTAGAACCAGCTGGTGTTGCGCTGCAGGGTAAGCTGCAGCGTGTTAAGCTACCACCTGAACCCCAGCGTGCCAAACAGCTGCTCCTTCAAACCCCAGCTGCCTGCTTCCAGTACAGCTGCCTGCTGATGCTTCTGGGAGAGCAGCAGGAAGATGGCCCAGGTACTAGGGCCCCTTCCACCCACGTGGGAAACCCTGAGGGAGTTACAGCCTCCTGGCTGTAAAAATATATAGGGGGGAAAGTGGAAGTCTGTGGGTTTCACCCCAGTCTGGAGGAGGATACTTTGTTAGGGATGTGGAATAGCCAGGGGCTGGGAATGGAGCCCTGACAGGTCACTCAGCCCCGGCATTTTCCACTTTCTTTTCTGAAATTTGCCCATTGTGATAAACATTCTGCAAGGACCTTTTCTTAATCTTACTTTTTAAAAAAAGCTTTATTTTTATTGCAAAGTCAGATATACAGAGAGGAGGAGAGACAAAGATCTTCCATCCGATTATTCACTCCCCAAGTGGCCACAACGGCTGGTACTATGCCAGTCTGAAGCCGGAAGCCCAGAGCTCTTCCGGGTCTCCCACACAGGCGCAGGGTCCCAAGGCTTTGGGTCGTCCTCGACTGCTTTCCCAGGCCACAGGCAGGGAGCTGGATGGGAAGTGGAGCTGCCAGGATTAGAACCGGCGACCATATGGGACCCTGGTGCGTTCACGGTGAGAACTTTAGCCGCTAGGCCATCGCACCAGCCCTTTTTAAAGCCAGAGATAAAATGAGAGTGGGAGAGATTTTCCATTTGCTGGTTCATTCCCCAAAGGGCCGCAAGGTCAGGCTGGAGCCAGGAGCTGCTTCCAGGTCTTCCACATTGGCGACATCCTTTTTGTGTCATTTCCTAGGATACTGAAGTTCATGTTTAATAGAAGATTTGTCCTTTACACAGTCCACGGAGTGCCCTGTGGCTCCTCTCCCCTGGCAGCAGCCGTTTGTCTCTGGTTTTTATATCCCTGCCTTTTAGTACCACATTGATTTTTGGCAACAATTCTCTCAGGTGTGATTAATATGACCCACTTCAGGAAGCAAAGGCACAGAGATGTTAAGTAACCTGTCGAAAAGTCACACAGCCCTGGATGTGGGGATGGGTATTGGGGGCAGCAGGCAAGGTGATGCTGCACACATCCTGGTCTCAGAGTGACTGGGTGGCAATCCCAGGTCTGCTACTAAGTCCAGCTTCCTGCCACTGCTCACCCGAGCTGCAGTAGCTGCTCAGTCAAGGTTCAGTGGATGCTGCTAGTCACGTGGTAGAACTCATTGGAATTCCCAGGTCGCAGTTGCCAGCAGTTACAGGTGTTTGGGGGGGTGGGGAAGGCTCCCCGGCCCTCCCTTTCAAATGTGTAAGTGGGTAGCTTTCAGTGTGAGGGCAGCAGTCATGGAGCTTGGCCACTTCCTGCAGGAGCTGGTCTGCGGGCTGCATCGGGACGGCCAAGGCTCTGGCTGCTGCTGCAGACTCCGACTCCCACGTGCAGTCTCCGATGTGCACCGCATGGTCGTGGGCCTCGAGGCTGGTTGCACATTTTCCCTTCTCTCAGGCACACTTGTATCACTCTTGTGCAGCTGTGCAGCTGTGGCGTTCTGTGGACATTGCTTTCCTAATTCTTCCTGTTCCAGAACCCAACCTCTGCCCAAACAGGTCCTCACATTCTTGATATTTTCTTACACCTGGTGCATCTAAAAACCTTCCTTCTGCAAGGCCTGCTTGGCCGACTCCTACATCAGGCCGTGGAGCAAGAAGGAAGTGGTCTCCGTGAGACACTGCTCTCATCTAGAGCTTGGCAGACGTGTGGGGGACCCAGAGACAGGTGGAGTTCATGCTTTTACAGCCATGAAGGAAGCCTGCACAGGTGGGGCCTCCGAAAGGCTTCCCCCACTTCCCGGAGAGTGGTATTAGACCAGAGGCCCGAAGCACCATGCGGGCTCAGAAAGCAGCAGATAGAGGAGTATGGCTGGAGAGTTACGAACCATTCAGGGGTGGAAAGGGCCTGTGGGCCAGGCTAAGAACAGAAAGCTTGACTTTTATCTGAGCTAATCAGTAGCCTTCCAGGGCTTTCATTGCATCTGAAATCAGTCTCTATGGTAGTAATGTTGAAGATTGATGATCCTAAATATTGTTCCTAGTAATTTCCACTCAAAATACTTCCACCTGCTGTGTGCACATGCTGTGCTAGGCAGTACTCTAACGAAGCACTTGACACGCACTACTCAAACTTCACCTCGTTGTAAGATGCAGATTGTCACTGCCATGGCACAGGTGGAGAAGGCCCGTGTCGGGGTCAGCATTATGGTGCACCGCCTCTGGCCTCAGCCTGGTTAGATTCAAAGGCCGGCTGCTCTGTGCCGGTGTACCCTGGGAAAGCAGCAGCAGATAGTGCACCCACGTGGGAGATCTGTGGGCTTTCTTCATTTAGCTGTCACTCTGCCTGTCAGGGCAGGCGAGTCGGCAGCATGGAGTGCTCCAGCACTGTTGCTCCTCTGAGCTTCGGGCCCTGTGATGGGTGGATTGTGCTGGGCACTGTGGCTGGCACGCAGATCCCCATGCAGGCAGCACATGCATTTGTTAGAGGCAGGAAAGACCTGAGGACACGCTCTGAAAGAGCCAGGTGCAGGCGGTTGCAGCTGGCATGTCGCATTGAGCCCTGGCCGACATGTTCTTTGTAAAGAATTGTGTCTTTATTAGAACAGCATAGCGAGGGAGAGTCCTGCGGTGCACTGACTCCGTCCTCAGATGTCTGGGCCTGGGCCAGTCTTCCAGGTGTGTGTCGAGGGCCAGTGTGCTTGGTGTCATCTCCTGCTTTCCCAAGGGTGTTAGCAGGGAGCTGGATCACCAGTGCAACACCCAAGACGCAAATGAGCCTTCTCATGTTAGGATGCCCATGTTGCAGGCAGCAGCTTACCCTATGGTTCCTCTACTTACGCCTGCCCCTTGTCTCAATAAATGCAATCCAAACGACCCTCGCCCTGGAAAATGTCCATTCTATCCTCAGACTAACACCTCCCTTTAACCAGAAGGTGAGTGGGAGAATTCCCTCCAGCTGTTCCTGTGCCAGTTCTAACACCTGCAGTTCAGAGGGCGCGGACCTTGCCTGGGCTGGACAGCGTCTTGGTAAGCAGCACATGCGCTCTGCTTACTGGGATATTCATCTCTACATTTGGATTTTGTAAGTGTGTTGGTTTATATATTTGGAAGGCAGAATGCCAGATTGGGGGATCGCGCATCTTCTGATTGACCTGCTCTCCCTCCCCCCCCGCCAGCCAGTGGCTATAAAAGCTTGAGCTGGGCCAGGCTGAAGCCAGGAGCCCCCGTGTAGCTGTCGGGCACAAGGACGCGGGCCGTCATGAGCTGCCTTCCCAGGCATTGATGAGAAGCACAGTGTCGGAGACAGGAGCAGTGTCTACCTACTGCCCCTCATGCCAAACCCATGTCGCTGGATTACTTCTTTCTCTCATTTTAAGATTTATTTTCATTTGAAAGGCAGAGTTACAGAGAGAAGGAGAGACAGAGGGAGAGAGAGAGAGACCTTCCATCCAGTGGTTCACTCCCCAAATGGCCACAATGGCCAGAGCTGAGCCGATCTGAAGCCAAGAGCCTCCTCCAGGTCTCCCACATGAGTGCAGGATCCCAAGGTGTTGGGCCAGCCCTTAAGCGTTGCCGGGTCGTAAGCAGGGAGCTGGATCAGAAACACGGCGGCTGAGACTAATAGGAGCACCCACCTTGGATGCCAGTGCCACAGACAGAGGCTTAGGCCTCTCTGCCACAGCACCGGCCTCCTCTGCTGTGTTTCTAGGAAGTAGTAATAGAACATTTACCCCCAGATTAAAAGAAAATCTCGTTTGCCTCTTTTGAATACTTGAAACGATGATGTTAATGCATGAGTGCATGAGTGAAGAGAGCATCGGATTCTCTGTTAACCAGCCACATCTGGTTTGTGCTCAGCATGGCGTGTTCAA